ATTTGGAGCAAGATCAGATAGGAGTGATAGAAGAAAGAATGAGGAGAAGGGTAATGGATAGATCAAGGCAACTTCTATCTTTTATTGGTGGTAGACCTGTCTGCAACATGCGTTCGCAGACGATATTGGCCTTATGGCGGGCAGTAACAATAAGCTGCAAAATTTAACCAGTAAACTGGTTGAATGAGCTGGTGTATATGGAATGGGATTCAACACAGAGAAATCAGAAGTAATAGCGAATAGCACAAGCAACAACTGTGCCAGCGTCACTTTGGACGGCAAAACACTGGAGGAAGTGTTCAGCTTCAAATACTTGGGAGCAAGTCTGTCAAAATATGGCACCTGCAACACAGAAAACATTAGTTATTATAATAAAGACCTCAACCTCTTATAATATTTAATTTTTGTTTAATTTTATATTCGTAATTTTACTATAGACGTACGGCAAATTGTTGGAAAACCTTGGTCATTATAATAAAGACTTAAACCTCTTATATTATTTAAAATTATAATAATTATAGGGGATATATTTAGCGATGTCTATATGGCATCAGTGTGAAACCGCCTCCACTCATTAGTGAACAGGATCTGTACGTGATGGATTCATGTATCCTTGAGTGACTCATTTGAGTACAGGACGCATACACAGTGTTCATAGATTATGATAGATATTAATAATGGTATATAATAAATTTTTTTTATACGGGAGTGCTCTGAGATATTTCAAGGGTTCCATAAGGATAAAACGGTTGAGAAGCATTGCATTGGACCATTTATCGTCAAGAAATAAGACTTGAATTTCCCAGAAGTTTACTAAATACGAAGACAAGATTCTGAAGAAAGCCGAAGAGTAAAACTGTCTTTGCATGCTATTCGAATAGAAAGCATGAAATAATGATAATCCATATCGGAATTTTTGAGATAATTAAATTTCGTATTTTTTATCGCAACGTTGAAATCGATTTATATTATAAGATCATCAAATCTTTCTTTCTTTCTATATGCCGTGTCCTTTCAGGACGTTGGCGATCATGGCTCTCCACCTCCTTCTATCCTTTGCATCTCTCAACAATTTCTTTTCCTCTCCCACCTACCTCAGACCACATTCTGTCATCCACTTGCTTAAGCCAGTTAAGTATATCATGCGTTGTTTTCCCTTGTCTCTCTTTCCCTCTATTCGACACGTGAGTATCAAATTCTCCAGGCCCTCCTTCCTCATTATGTGTCCCAGGAATTTCAGCTACCTCTTCCTGATGTTAAGTATAAACCTCCTCCTTGTTTGCATCCTCTCTAAAACTTCATCCTTGCTCACACGCTCGATCCATGATATCCTTAGCATCCTTCTGTAGAACCACATCTCCGTCGCATCGAGTCTCTTCATCATCGTTGGGGAAATTGTCCAACATTCCCTGCCGTAAAGAAGGACTGGTGTCAGTATTATTTCTTTCGTTACCGAAGAAATCCTCCTGTTTCGCAATACTCTGCCCAGCTTTTGGAATGCGTCCTTGGCCATCCCCAATACGTTTACGGACCTCAGTGTCGCACTTACCGTCCTCTGTCAGAACGCTTCCCAGATATTTAAACTTCCGCGTCTGCTTGGTTCTAGTGTTCCCGACCTGCAAATCGCATTTTGGGCTTATCCTTTTACTGATGACCATGCATTCTGTTTTATTGCAGTTTATGTTTAGTCCCTTTTTCACCCTCTCCGTCGCTACCTTCAAAAAAAAAAAAAAAAAAAAAGAGAGAGAGAAAAGAAAGAACTGATATCCAATGAGATTTGAACTCCACACATTTTAGTCTTTTCCTGTATATTCCATTAAGCGAACCCAGTGACCTTTCAGCGTTAGTATTCTATTGAGAATCGACCGTACTCTAACGAAATTTGATACTATCCTGCGAGTGGATAACATTACACATCTCATCAACGAATTACACAGCCTGTTACTTCTGGCCGCGAACACATATATTTATCTTGATCGTCTAGGACGGGAAACAAGATATCGAACATCAGTTATAATCAAGAAAATGTCTTAATAATCGCAAGAAAGATTCGCTGTGCGTCACACTGACGACTCGTCTTTAATTTCATCTAAGGTACATTTGCTTTCTTCCGAGCGTTATCTTTCTTTCCTATTGAAAGTTTGTAAATTTCATTCTATAGTATTTGTGTTGAAACTTGACTAATGCATGGAATAATAATGCAACACAAAATGTACTTAGAACAAAATGTATTGAAACAAGAAAGTGTACACAATATTTACATATAGTCTTTTGTATATTCCTGGGAAGACCGTTCCTGGAGAATGTGTTGACTTAGTCGCAGTCGGGCAAAGTCTCTGGTTGAATCTCTTGATTCCTCCCCTCTCTTCCCGGTACCAACCATATTTATATGGTCGGTACTCCACTATGCAAATTAGGTGGATCCTACCACAACAATCTGGTACATTAGTGTGTAAATTATCTTCAGATATTGTGTTTCTGTAAAAGAATAAAATGAATAAAAAAGTCAAAAGGAAGAACTATTTTAGTCGACGAATTTTGTCCTCTGGGGGATTTTATCAAGACAATGTAGGATTTATTTTACTGCACGTGTTTATGTGCAAAAGCAAGGATACCATTGGTTTATGTTGGCTTTTGAATTTGAGAACGTTCATGAATATTCATCAAGTGGTTGAAACGTCAGTCAAAACATGTGAAGGACACAAAATGCCATAATTCAAAGTCTGGTAAATTCATTACCTTATGTTTTTGAACATGTACAGAACATACATCCATCACATATCATAACAATCGAATCACAATTTAAACAATATTATATATATATATATATATATATATATATATATATATATATATATATATATATATATATATATATATATATATATATATATATATATATATATATATATATATATATATATATATATATATATATATATATATATATATATATATATATATATATTGAATATTATATCGCTTGAATATTTTTACCAGCTGTTGAATATTCATGAACGTTCTCAAATTTAAAAGTCTTGATGAATCAATGATATCCTTGCTTTTGTATATAAACACGTGTAACAAAATAAATCCTACATTACCTTGATAAAGTCCCTCAGAGAACGAAATGCGTCGACTAAGAATAGTTTTTCCTCTTCTCTTGTTATTCGTACGTTATTGTACTTGTAAAATCTGGTACATTTTGGGTATGACGATAAACTTCATCCGGCAGCATGTCCTCTGATTGTAAGTTCTGAGTAGCGTGGTACCACCTCTTAACTGTTGTTGTTGTCAGGTTCACTCTTACTCGAAGTGGTAGCACCCGTTAGGGTCCCAGCTATGGGCAAATAGCGATCCCCATAAACAAAAATGAATCGTACATTTTCATAGTAAAATGACAATCAATGCAACACCAAAAAATATAAAATATTTTTTTATAGCAAAATTACCAACAATACATTGCTGTAGTGAAATTACCAACAGTAAATTACCGACAATACATTTCTGTAGTGAAATTACCAACAGTAAAGTACCGACAATACATTTCTGTAGTGAAATTACCAACAGTAAATTACCGACAATACATATCTGTAGTGAGGTTAGCACCAGAAGCCATAAAGGGATTTCTCAGATGATTAATAGAGAGAATTTACGTATTTTTGGTGGTGGTGGAGGTTAAAATTAGCAAGCCATTCTTTGCCCCGGTTAACAGCAGATTGTAGGTTATATTTGTGAGCAGCTGCCAATTTGACCTTATCGAACCGATCAGACGTATTATTAAGATAGGAATACGTGCTTGTACCATCAGCATAGATACCAACTTGAGAACTGATGGCAGCAGGAAGGTCATTGATTAAAATTAGGAACTGTGTGATTCCAAGGATATAGCCGTGGGGGGACACCTGCATTTGTATAAAACCCGATAAATCTAGAAGAGTTGCCGTTCAGGAAGAATTACATTTCGCGATTTGAAAAAGAAAGATTGATTTAGCTAAAAAATTCGTCCAGAAATATAACCTTTTAATTTGTGAAGATCAGCATGTCAAACCCTATCAAACGCTTTTGAGATATCCAAAGCAACAGCCGAACATCCTTATATGAACTTTAATAGACGCTTTCAGTATTAACTGTTAATACATACAGTTGACTCAGGAAAGCGAAAGCCATATTGCTTGTATGGAAGAAAATTCTGCGATCTGAGATGTTTAAATGTAGAATAAATTGGACAGTGCCTAAAATATTAAGACAAATACTTTGGCTATCGCTTGATTGAAATAAATTCGTATAATGACGCAATTTTCCCCCAAATACTGAGATCAACAACGACATTTAATTTAATATTTTATTATAAATAGGTCAGTAAAACATAATTTAAAGAACTAATTGGATGGTGGAGTATGTGTCTTTAAAATCCGATAATTCTTTAATTTTGTAAAGAAGTAGGAATGTTCCGAAGGTCTCAGAAATTAAGTTCTGAAGGTCACCGCATTTAGAGAACATGGTTTTGTTAAATCCAAAGACAGTCAGGACACAATTGATTAGTGTTATGGAAAACTGTATAAAACATCAAATTTAACAATCCTACATACCTTTCTTTGCTCATATTAAGAGGATTTTTGTAAGTGAGAAGAGAGAATGTGCGACACCATAATCCGGAGGCGTAGCGGGATATGGAAAGATGCCTTTCAAAAGCTAAGCAAAGTATTAAGAAATAGGAAAATATCGTTAGAAACAAAGAAAAGAGTGTTTCACTGTTACGTCATTTCAATCCTCCTATATATGTTTTTATTGGTTGATACGTTTTCTACGGATTATCAACCCTTTGCAGGTTATTTAAAGCCAGAAAATACGTCAGATTGTTTCAAACTTTCCCAAGGGTATTTGCGTGTAAGGGAATATAACGAACCCAACTGGAATTGGAACTCGGCACTCCGATTAAAAATTCCAAGCTTACAGTCACCCATCAAAGTAAATTCTGGTTCAAATATGCTGATGGCTTACGGCCATATCACGTTGAAACGCCGGCTCTCGTATGATCACCGAAGGTAAGCAACATCAAGCCTGCTCAGTACTTAGATGGGTGGCCGCTTAGGAATACCAGGTGCTGTAAGCTTGGACGTGCGTGGGTTTAATGGAATTGGAATTCCGAGAGCCGAGTTCCAATTCCAATCGACTGTTGCTTAACTTCAGTGATCGTACGGCAACCTGCGTGTCAACGTGATGTGGCCGTAAACTCCTCCTATGTGGCAGTGAATGATGAAGAGACTAGAAGTAAAATAAATTTGGTTCTACAGAAAGTTGCTGAGAATACCATGGAGCGAACATGTGAGCAATTACAAAATTTTACAGAATATGAAAACAAAAATGTTACCTTATACTTAACATCAGGTAGTTGAAATTTCTAGGGCCCATAATGCCGAAAGAGGTCCTGGAAAATGCCCCAACAACATAAATTTGAACGTGCTACGAGAATGGCATCTGTTGAAATAATTGAATGTAAACGACACTTCTACTCCAACAGTTTCTTTTCTCAATATGTCCTATGAGTGTCCCCCTTTCCTTCAATATGTCCTTGAGTGTACCCCTTTCCTTTAATATGTCCTATGAATGTCCACCTTTCCTTCAATATGTCCTATAAGTGTACCCCTTTCCTTCAATATGTCCTATGAGTGTACCCCTTTCCTTCAATATGTCTTGTGAGTGTCCCCTTTCCTTCAATATGTCTCGTGAGTGTCCCCCTTTCCTTTAATATGTCCTGTGAGTGTCACCCTTTCCTTCAATATGTCCTCTGAGTGTCCTCCTTTCCTTCAATATGTCTTGTGAGTGTCCCCCTTTCCTTCAATATGTCCTGTGAGTGTCACACCCACAGGATATATTGAAGGAAAGGGGAACAGAGGAAAATAGAATAACCCCTGCCTAACAAGCTTGCGTAAATGGATGACAGACTAGTGTTTAGGAGAGACAGCAAAAAGACAAAATCTGCTAAGTAATACAAAGGACAGGAAATTGTGAAGAGCCATGATCACCAACGTCCAGAAAGGACATTTCATATAAAATAAGAAGGAACTTTATATGTAACATGCACAGTAATTTACTTTATATACATAACTGCGGCTTAGAAACATTCCAGTACTTCATACGTAAATAATCCTATTAGTTTTGATGGGTACTATACTATGAGGGTTGTTAGCACTGGCTTTTAAAAGTGAGGTGAGTTTATCCTTTTTTTTTCACTGACAAAATTTAAGGAGAGCGGCGCTATCCAACGTACTTTTCATTTTTCCCATTTTTAATTTCTGAAATTCGTAGAGTAGTAAACATGAAACAACCTGTGATCGTTTTGGGTCATGTGACACACAAGTGGTTCCTTAAATTTATATGGTAATAACTCTCAATGCTTCATCTGATAATAGGTTCAAGATATTTTTTATTTTTTTACTAATCTTACAGTATGTAAAGCAATATTTGAAGTGGTAGCGTCAGGTGTTCAGGGGAAAATAAGGAGTGAATGATATCTTACAACATTTCACCATCCCTAGCAAATGGAAACAAAAGGAAAAAGAATCTAAATGAAATCGGATATATATATATATATCTTACTTATTAAAAACGCAGATTTGTGTGTGTGTGTGTGTGTCTGTACGTTTATATATTGGATCGGATTTCCTACATTTTTCAACCGATTTCAACAAAACTTCACATGACTGCAAAAAATTACCTTGCGGTGGTTCTGACAGCGCCAAAAATTGGAAAAAAAACAATTGTTTTTGCATTAAATCAATTTGAAAACACTTAAAACACGATTCTGTCGCCAGAATGAAAGGGGGACAACTCATATAGAGTTATACTTATTATAAAACCCAGGTTGTTTGTGTGTGTATGTGTTCGTTTATATATGGGATCGGATTTCCTACATTTTTCAACCGGTTTCAACAAAACTTCACTTTTTCTTGGCAGGTAGTGTTTCTTATTGTCTTGCACACTTTTTTCTTTATTTTTACATTCAGAATGCTTTAAAAATTCCATTTACAAGACAATTGTTTATAATAAAATTCTATTCAATCGGTAGACTCATAACGATTGAAAACAATGTTTTTGTTTGGGTTTGACCAATTCGTAAAAAAAAACAAAAAAACAAAAAAAACTAATTAAGACATGCGTGTCTGTCAATCTTAAACAATAATCTTTGTCAATTTTATTTTTCAGTCTTCATGATGGTCGATACTTGATCTATCTCTTAACTGTTACATCCCCGGGCAACACCGGGCTCTACTGCTAGTATATATATATATATATATATATATATATATATATATATATATATATATATATATATATCATTTCACCCTAAGCTAAGCAGAAATTCCACTAGCATGCAGAGGGTTACAGAGAGGTGAAAGTGAGAAGAATTGAGGTAAAGATAAAAGATGAACGGGATTCAAGAAGACAGAAGGTAGCGATTGACGTTGCATTTAAATTTTTGAAGATTGTAGTTATCAGGGATACATGTAAACGAAAAGGAGTTCCACAGGAAGGAAGTGCGAGAAAGGAAACTGTTGGAGTAGAAGTGTCATTTACATTCAACTATTTCAACAGAAGCCATTCTCGTAGCACGTTCAAATTTATGTAGTTGGGTCACCAGGGATAAAAGTTCGTCCGAGCAGTTGCCATAAAGATTTTTGTAGAAAAGACAGAGGGAAGCCACGTCACGTCGGTGAGAAAGTGACTGAATACCAAGTCAAGATCGATTACATTGCAGATCCTTCTTTTGGATTTTGCCAAGAACCTCGAGATGAACCCGACCAGATATGGCAACAGTATTCAATGCACGGACAAATGATTGATTTTTAAATATGCAAGAGGGACTCTGGCGAGAAAAAAAACAAAACTTTCTGGCACGATACAATGACCCAACTTTCCTTGCAGTAGATGCAGCTTCAATGTAGTCGTTCCACTTCGACAGTTAAAAACGTGAGTCCAAGAAGGCATAGAATTGCTCCCCCAGGAGTCTAGCATTAGCCATGAAGGAGGAAAGTTTCTCTATAGAGGTTAAATGAGAGCAATTTTGTTTTGGAGACATTAAAATTCACAAGCCATTTCCTGTCCCAGTTAACCACCCAAAACACAGAAATTTAGAATTCCAGGCATCTCTCGTTCGTGGGCATGCGTAATCGCACCAACGTAGTCCGATGAAATCCTAAAGGACGAAACATGTCACACGAATATATATATATATATATATATATATATATATATATATATTTGTTGGATAGATGTGAGTTTGTGACCTGGGTTTGCTTTAGCGATCGTCAGACAGGTCTGACGATCGCTAAAGCGTGAAACCCAGGGTCACAAACTCACATCTATCCAACCAAATATGTTAGCTCTATCTCTGATATTGAGCGCTTTCTAATAAGTACCGCGCATATAATATATAAATAATTATACATACTTATATTTATTTATATTTATATACACTTTTCACATATATATATATATATATACCTGGTGTAACAGAAAAATTGTCCAAATCGTGTAACAGCATAGGATAATTTTCCATTCCACAAAATATTTAATATCTAAAAAAAATTCAACTAATTGAGTTTCTTTTTTTTCCAGGTTTTCTGATAAAACGTTTAGCCACCTTGACACCAGTTGTCATAAGAATCAATGAAAACCCCTTTGAGCTATTGAGCTAAAAAGAGAACAGGTTAAAATCGTTTTGTTTCAGCCCCACTGTCTTCCCAAATGAGCAATAGTACGCGAAAAAAGATCATTCAGGCCTTCAGTAATAGTACGAGCATTCATACTCTGGCTTCCATCTTCAAATTCCATTCAATAGCCATCAAGAGAATGTTGAATGTTTAAAAAAAAGAGGGAACAGTAGAGAGGAAAACTAGATCAGGAGGTCACAACAGCAAGAGGGATCACCATTTCAATTTAGAGATAAATACATATTTATTGTTCAAAGTAGATTCCATTAGTGTTATAAAACCTCGGAGAATTCCAGTAAATATATTTAATCATATTAAGATACAACGTTTCAAAGCTTAATCTATCAATTGGACAATTTTGTTGTAACACTCAGTATATATATATATATATATATATATATATATATATATATATATGTGTGTGTGTGTGTGTGTGTGTGTGTGCGCGTGTGTGTGTGTCTGAATACATAAAAAACTCATTCTTTTTGGTGCGGCCTTGCCTCCAGTAACCATTACACATGGCGGCATCGTAGACCCGTAGACTATTTTAAACTTTCAGTTTTCCAAAGAATACCAGGATGTAAACAAAGGCATTCTGTTTCTGACACAGACACCATATTATTTCTTGAAAATGACCAATTTTGTCGAAAGTACTTGGACAAAACAACAGCCCAACATGAATTTCGGACATTTTATCACTAATCGAAATTTGTAAAATAATCAACACTAATCGAAATTTGTAAAATTGCATATGTGCATTACCTCACTCCCAATAGCTGTTACACATGACGTCACGGAAGACCATTTCAAACGTTCAGCTTCTCAAAGGAAACTAGGTTTCAGACAAAGGAATTCTAACTACTACACAGACAACACTTCAGTTTTTGATAGTGCCTCCGAAATTCGAAAGTACTTCGAACAGTTTAGTATAATAATAAAATAATAATAAATAAAATAAAATGAAAATAAATATTTAAATTAAATTAATAAATAAAAATATTGTGCAACCTCGTTCCCAACAGCCGTTACACATGGCGTCACGCTAGACCATTTTAAACTTCCATCTTCCCCAAAGAAAACCAGGATACAAACAATGGAATTTTAACTACCTCAAATCGGTTCTTGATGACTGCGAAAGTCGAAAGTACTTGGACAAAACAACAACACAACAGTTTATCCACAACTCCGAGCACAATATTCAACACCTTATTCAAAAATTGTAAAATTGTATATGTTCATTACTTGGTGCGTTAACAATGATAAAACGTTTCTTTATTCCATCTAACATATTGTTTTAGAAATGATCTATCTCTCTACTGATATACGCTTATATATAAATTACTTTACATCTTGAGATATCATGTGTGTATATACAGGGCTGATACGTACTACCCCGA